GGGCGTGACACTGAGGGTTGCGATCCGTTGCCAGTCACGAAAAAAGACAAACAGGAGAAAAAAAAAAAAAAGAAAAAGAAAACCCTCCCATGTCAATGTATTTTTATGCCCTTCTTTAGGTAACCTCACTAACAGCTAACAAGGATTTACTGTATCATCTAAAGGACTGATGTGCATTTAACAGAAATGAAAAGGCAGATCTTTGCTTCAAGGAATTTATGATCTGCTCAGGAAAATCAAAATATTTACACATGAAATTAAGAATATTAATAAGCAATATCTCAAGCTATGAAGAATGCTATAGTAAAAACAGATCCAATACTGATATATAACTAATTCTCAAGGGAAGGCCTGGATAAAAATATTCCCCAAATGGTCTTTTTCTGTTGATGATCTTTTTCTCTTTAACCATAACAGAAGTCAACTAGGACAACTAGGCCAAATGCTTGTGTACCCTTCGTTTAAACCTACAGTGCACACAAGCTGCCACAAAAGCCACAAAGATTTCTAAGCCACTTCTCTCTTCTGCCCTGAAGTAGTGAGCAGGAGCCCATACCCACTGTGAAGGGAAGCAGACAATACAGGGAAGGAGATTTGAGGGCAGAGACAGAGAAGCATAAAGGAACATGACAGGAGGAGGATTTTTACAGACTAGAAGATCTCTCTGTGTGAGAAAAAAGAAAAAGTCTGTGAGTGACAAGAGCAAAGGGACCCTGTGGCCTGGCAACACCTCCAGGAAGGCAGCTAAAACCTCAAGAGAAAATAGCTATGTGGTACATCTTGGAAGATGGGCCATGCATGTCTTCACCAAAGATACCAGAGCCTGATGCATAGCACAGATGTAGCAAAGAACCTCTGGATTTGAAGGGATCTTCTACCCAGGGATGACTGATGTCTCAGCAGTAACACCAAACCTTAATGCTTTGGTATTGTATAAAACCTCACAACTCTGGCACAGCTGCAGACTGAGAGAACCTTAGGAAGGTATGAAGTTACAAATTCCCATCAGCCTGGTATTTGAGGGCTAAAGTCAAATTTAAATGAGTTACAGAAAAATCAAGAAACTTATACTTTCTATAGATCTGAGGTTTATTCAGGTCTGAGACTTATCCTTTCTACATGTATAATAATATATGGGTACACAATATACAGTGTTTAAAGTTTCACAAATAGAAAAGGAAAAATGAGAAATATGCTGTTGTTTCATCTATCTGGTTCTATCAATTAAAGCTGCTCCATGTGAATGAGTTCTCTGGATAAGTGAAATATAGAGTGTACGCTAACATAAATTATTGATCTTTAGCTGAAATCTGGGAATGGGATTGGGGACTACTGCCCTTATCCTAAATTACTCCCAAACTGGAGTGCTTTTACCATTTTTTTGTCTTTTTTTTCCCTTAGTTTTTCTTACTCTCCTCACTACATTGATAGTCTGGCAGCAGCAGTTCTCAGTGCACTTGATTCTAGTTATCCTTTCTCCCTTCCTTCTATTCTAATTCTCTATTTCAAATATATCTTGGGTTGAAAAATCAGAAAACCAAGCATTTTAGAACTGTGCTTAAATCAAGAGTCAAGAGGCACTGAGCAAAGATGCCAGGGAGTGGTTCTGGTTACTCCATAGCTTTTCTTACTTTCTATCAGGTTCTTAGCTATGTTCTAATTTGATATAAGACAATTTTCTGCATTAGTCCATTTCTATTCCTTATAACAAAATACCTGAAACCAGGTAATTTATGAAGATATTTCTGCTTACAATTTTAGGGGCTGGGAAGTCCAAAGTCCAGGGAACACATCTGGTGAGGGCCTTTTCCTGGTGATGACTCCACAGTGATGCAGGGTATTACACAGCGAGAATGGCAGGAGCAGAGAGCGCTAACATGCTCCTTGCTCTCTTTATAAAGCCATCAGAACCACACCCGTTACGGCCCAAGAAACCATCAACTTATTACTCCCCAAATGGATCAATCCATTCATAGGGCATGGTCCTCACAATCTAACACGTCACCTTTCATTTACCATAATAGGATTTACCACCTTCTTAAGAGTTACAGTGGGGATTAAGTTTCACAGGGGCTTGGGGGGACAAACATATCCAAACTACATCACCCAGAGTTCATGAGAGTGTTTCTAGTTACTCCATGGCCTTTTCTTACTTTTTACCCAGTTCTTAGCTATGTTCTATGTCAGCATTTTCCAAGTTATCTTCTTGAATTCTGAAGTTTCAGAAGGTGCTTCAGTGATGGGTGGGCAAAAGGGAGGCTGAGTGGCCCCTCTGCTCTGCTTCAGTGGGAGTGGCCCTCTTTTATCTATTTTATACTATGAGTTCTGTTTTAGATTTGATTTAACAAAAGAATTTTACAGCTACAACAAGTTTGAAAACCACTCTTCTAGAAATCTGACCTCTAGATTTGTGTAGCTCAGCTGCATATGTTATAATTGTGAATTTTTTAAAAACCTCTAAAACTCCAAAAATAGAACCCATTTTCAAAAGTAAGTGAAAATTACCTGAAGTAAAGGGATGAAATCTTCCTGTTCTAGAGAGCTGCAGTTGGGCTTTGCTAGAAGACAAATGAACTTAGAGGCATCATCATGATGGTTATTCAGCAACCTATATAAAAAAACAATTGCTTAGGAAGATTGGCTACTTTGAACAAACAATGGCTACAACATCAGTAGTTGGTAATTTCAGTCTGATCTGAAGGCCATTTAGATCAAGAATGAAGTGTTCTCTCTTCAATGATTAAAGAAAGGGAATTTTTCCCATGTTCTTGATTTTGTCAAAGGGACATCTTAATAAAAGTTCAATAACAAGATGGTATATTATTTTTATTGAATGCTTCTGAAAATGCCACAGAGTCAACTGAATTAATGCAGGTAAAATGTGTTATCAAAATATACTTGAAGGAGAATGCCCATTCCATTTAGCAAAGGATATTTGGAACCAGAGCTCCAGACCTAGCCATCAGCCAGGACGGAAGACAACAGAAGGACCACTATGCACCACAAGACATAAAATTTTGTTTTCCCAGGTTGACAGACATATTCGGACCAACCTGCTAGGGGCTTTTGAAATTAGACCTTGAATGAAGAGACTTAAAAAAATGAGTGTTCTATTAAATCTTCTAAGGTCCCAGAATTCCTTACCTCCAACTATTTGTTGGACATTTCCATTTGGATACTATACCCTGACAGCAAAGTCAACATATTGAAAACCAAATTTAAAATCTTCCTCTCAAAGGAGTCCTTTTCCTGGACATTTATTTTTGTTCATGGTGGTACCATCCTGAGTTATCTGGGTCAGTGAGATTCCCTGTAAAGTGAAGTAGGAAGGAAGGGAGTTGTGCTGAAGAGGGCAGCATGTACAAATGTCTGGTGTGAGAGTGCAAAGAACATGTGGGCAAGTACAAGTGCAGGGTTGGTAATAGAAGGGGACATGAGCAGGTAGGAGCAAATCCTGGAGGCCCTTTTATGTCACATGAAGAAGCCCGGACTTCAGTATACTCCACAGAAGATTTTTAATTTGGACAGTGACATGATCAGATGTACTTTTCCAAAATATCAAGCAAGAAACAATGAGAGTTTGAGTATGGCACTGGCAGTGGGAGAGGGAGAGAAAGGGGCAAATTTGGTGGAAATGAAAGGATGTGGTAGATGATAAGTGTGGGGGTAAAAGAAAAGGGGAAGTCCATGACAACTTCCAAGTTTCTAGCTTAGACCTTTACGTGCTTAGAATACAGGATGGGAATATTGCAGTCTGAGGAATTTTTCTTCAAAATGTTTTAGACAATTGTTCCTTCCTTCCTGTTTTCATCGTACCATCAAGTCCAGACCTCATTATTTCATGCTGAGACTGCTGGAAGGGAAGAGGATCCTAATAGGCTTCGGTGCTCATCCAAACTTGTATCATAGACAATTCACTCTAAAACATCCTTTGATTATATAATTCCCTTACTCAAAAGTGTTCAGTATCCTTCTACTTATACGCATAAGTTTAAATGTCTAAGGTGGGTATTTAAGGACCTCAGTAATTAGGCTGTAGTCTGCCTACCTACCTGTCTCACTAATTTGCTAAATGAATATTCCATTCTTGGCAGCTGGCCTGACCTACTATTCACTGAGTGTGTCAGGTGCATGTTTGCTTCTGCGTCATTCTCATGCTGTTCTACTCTCCTAGAATACCCTCTCCTAACTTTGTTATCTTAATGCTGCCTATTCCATAAGACGTAATGAATAACCCACTTTTTTGAAGAAGCCTTCCCTGACAAATGAATTCCTTACTGATCTTGGTAATATTTAATTTACATATGTTATATATACCATTGTACTGTTGTTTGCTTCCTTTTATATCTCTGGCACCTAAAGGGCAGGCAAAGTTATAGCTCTTTTTTCCCTTAGCACACAGTATAGTGACTTTCACATAGAAGACTCTTAAAAAATATTTGTGATCTAACAGATGCATACCTAACTCACTTCATTTGTGATTTTAGAGCTAGAGTATTATTATTATTATTATTTTTTCCTTTTTGTCTTTTTCCGTGTCCGGCAACGGATCGCAACTCTCAGTGTCGCGCCCATACCGGACCGGGACTGGCAATGGGATCGCAAACCTCGGTGTTGCTCCTGCACCTCGCTCAGCCAGTGAGCAGGAACCGGTCTGTATGTGAGATCCGAACCCTC